CTCTCATCTCTCTCCCCTCTCTCTCCCATCTCTCTCCCCTGACTCTCCCCTCTCTCTCCCATCTCTCTCCCCTGACTCTCCCCACTCTCTCAACTCTCTCTCCCCTCTCTCTCCCCTCACTCTCCCCTCTCTCTCCCCTCACTCTCCCCTCTCTCTCTCCTCTCTCTCCCCTCTCTCTCCCCACTCTCTCAACTCTCTCTCCCCTCTCTCTCCCCTCACTCTCCCCTCTCTCTCTCCTCTCTCTCCCATCTCTCTCCCCTCTCTCTCCCCTCACTCTCCCCTCTCTCTCCTCTCTCTCTCCCCTCTCTCTCCCCTCTCTCTCCATTCTCTCTCTCCCCTCTCCCACCTCTCTCTCCCCTCTCTCTCCCCTATCCTCTCTCTCCACTCTCCTCTCCCCTCCACTCTCTCTCCTCTCTCCTCTCTCTCCCCTCTATCCCCTCTCTCTCCCCTCTCTCTCCCCTCTCTCCCCTCTCTCCTCTCCACTCTCTCTCCCCTCTCTCTCCCCCTCCGCTCTCTCCCCACTCTCTCTCCCCTCTCCACTCTCTCTCCCCTCTCCTCTCTCATCTCTCTCCCCTATCCTCTCTCTCCACCCTCTCTCCGCTCTCCTCTCCCCTCTCTCCCCTCTCGCCTCTCCTCTCCGCTCTCTCTCTCTCTGTTTTCGCCATCTCCCCTCTGCTTTCTCTCCACTCTCCGCTCTCTTTTCTGCCACCTCCCCCCCCTCTCTCCTCCCTCTCTCCCCTCTCACTCATCTCTATCCCCTCTCTCTCCTCGCAGAGGAATCTGTGGAATTCTCGGTGCTCTGTTGAGTTTCAGCAAAAAGGGGGCAGAGTGGAGGCCGTGGGGTGGGGTCGGGGGTTGGGGTGGTGAGGCTGAGGGATGGGTGTGAACTCGGTGAGCGTGTCTGTCACGGCCATTCTGGGCCCCCTGAGAGAGACACAGAGACTCAAACCCAGGATCTCAGTGGCGCTGGCTGTGTGTGTCTGACACGGCCATTCTGGGCCCCTTGAGAGAGACACAGAGACTCAAACCCAGGATCTCAGTGGCGCTGGCTGTGTGTGTCTGACACGGCCATTCTGGGCCCTCTGAGAGAGACACAGAGACTCAAACCCAGGATCTCAGTGGCGTTGGCTGTGTGTGTCTGACACGGCTGGGCCCCCTGAGAGAGACACAGAGACTCAAACCCAGGATCTCAGTGGTGCTGGCTGTGTGTGTCTGACACGGCCATTCTGGGCCCTCTGAGAGAGACACAGAGACTCAAACCCAGGATCTCAGTGGCGCTGACTGTGTGTGTCTGACACGGCCATTCTGGGCCCTCTGAGAGAGACACAGAGACTCAAACCCAGGATCTCAGTGCTGCTGGCTGTGTGTCTGACACGGCCATTCTGGGCCCCCTGAGAGAGACACAGAGACTCAAACCCAGGATCTCAGTGGCGCTGGCTGTGTGTGTCTGACACGGCCATTCTGGGCCCTCTGAGAGAGACGCAGAGACTCAAACCCAGGATCTCTGTCGCTGGCTGTGTGTGTCTGACACGGCCATTCTGGGCCCCCTGAGAGAGAGACAGAGACTCAAACCCAGGATCTCAGTGGTGCTGGCTGTGTGTGTCTCAGTGTGTATCTCCCTGTGTGTCTCTCTGTGTGTCTCTCTGTGTGTGTCTCTCTCTGTGTGTCTCTCTGTGTGTGTGTCTGTGTGTCTCTCTGTGTGTGTGTCTGTGTGTCTCTGTGTGTGTGTCTCTCTGTGTGTGTGTCTGTGTGTGTGTGTCTGTGTGTGTGTCTGTCTGTGTGTGTGTGTCTCTCTGTGTGACTCTCTCTGTGTGTCTCTGTGTGTGTCTCTCTCTGTGTGTGTGTCTCTGTGTGTGTCTCTCTCTCTGTGTGTGTCTCTCTGTGTGTGTCTCTCTGTGTGTGTGTCTCTCTGTGTGTGTCTCTCTGTGTGTGTGTCCAGTGAGCGGTGGCGTAGCGGTTAGCGCGCTGCGCTCCGAACACCGAGTTCGATTCCCGCTCACGGCCAACACCAGTGATAGCGATGATCTGAACCGGTCCTGGGACTGCCCTAGGTCCACTCGGCCTCAAATGATTGCTTGGCACGGTGTGTGGTCAACATCGCCACTGGGGAGATAATGGCACCCACCCCCTCGTGGAGCAGAGTGCCGCTCACTCACAGCACTTGCCCCCAACAGTCTAAACGCAGCAACGACAAGGAGCTGTTCTTAAGAAATTCGTTTCTCTTTGTAGTGTAGTAGTGTGTAGTGTATAGTGTAGTGTATAGTAGTGTGTAGTGTATCGTAGTGTAGTCTCTAGTAGTGTAGTGTATAGTAGTATAGTAGTGTGTAGTGTATCGTAGTGTAGTCTCTAGTAGTGTAGTGTATAGTGTAGTGTATAGTATAGTGTAGTGTATAGTAGTGTAATCTGTAGTAGTGTAGTGTATAGTGTAGTGTGTAGTAGTATAGTCTGTAGTAGTGTAGTGTATAGCAGTATAGTGTAGTGTATAGTGTATCGTAGTGTAGTCTCTAGTAGTGTAGTGTATAGTAGTGTAGTGTATAGTAGTATAGTGTAGTGTATAGTAGTGTAGTGTATAGTAGTGTGGTGAAGAGTGTAGTGTATAGTAGTGTAGTGTATAGTAGTGTATAGTGTAGTGTATAGTAGCGTGGTGTAGAGTGTAGTGTATAGTGTAGTCACTGGAGTGTGTAGTGTATAGTGTAGTCAGTGTAGAGTGTAGTGTATAGTGTAGTCACTGTAGTGTAGAGTGTAGTGTATAGTGTAGTCACTGTAGTGTAGAGTGTAGTGTAGTGTATAGTGTATCGTAAGTTGAACTTCTTTGGCACCGTACATAACCAGCCGCGTTAATCGGGGGTGCCGGGGAAGGACAACAAACTACACAACAACAACAACAACAACCCCGTGGGGTGGGGTCGGGGGTTGGGGCAGCAGCTCTAAAGTAATGAGTTTTTCAATCTAGATGATGATGACGGTGATGTCCAAAGGGCATCGTCGCTCCCAGTGGCTACGTAATATCGCTTTGGAAAGAGAGTTCCAGACGGCCGCAGAAGCGCCGCGAGATGATGCGGTGACCGTCTCTGTCCGACGTTGCGAGGATGAGCGGAATTTGCGCGACGATGGTTCATGCCCCGTGACACGATCTACGGGGGTATACTGTGGTTCATTTGTGGCACGCACCCTATGTGTGTGTGATGAGTGCAGCCTCATAATGACCTCACGTTCATAGACAACGCTAGCCCCTACTACACTCTGTGTACCATTGTCTGTGTCTACAGACGTCACGTTCATAGACAACACTAGCCCCCTACTACACTCTGTATACCATTGTCTGTGTCTGTCTGTGTCTACAGACGCTACGTTCATAGACAACGCTAGCCCCCTACTACACTCTGTATATCATTGTCTGTGTCTGTCTGTGTCTACAGACGCTACGTTCATAGACAACGCTAGCCCCCTACTACACTCTGTATACCATTGTCTGTGTCTGTCTGTGTCTACAGACGCTACGTTCATAGACAACGCTAGCCCCCTACTACACTCTGTATATCATTGTCTGTGTCTACAGACGCCACGTTCATAGATAACACTAGCCCCTAATACACTCTGTATACCATTGTCTGTGTCTGTCTGTGTCTACAGACGCTACGTTCATAGACAACGCTAGCCCCCTACTACACTCTGTGTACCATTGTCTGTGTCTACAGACGTCACGTTCATAGACAATACTAGCCCCCTACTACACTCTGTATACCATTGTCTGTGTCTGTCTGTGTCTACAGACGCTACGTTCATAGACAACGCTAGCCCCCTACTACACTCTGTGTACCATTGTCTGTGTCTACAGACGTCACGTTCATAGACAATACTAGCCCCCTACTACACTCTGTATACCATTGTCTGTGTCTGTCTGTGTCTACAGACGCTACGTTCATAGACAACGCTAGCCCCCTACTACACTCTGTGTACCATTGTCTGTGTCTACAGACGTCACGTTCATAGACAACACTAGCCCCCTACTACACTCTGTATACCATTGTCTGTGTCTGTCTGTGTCTACAGACGCCACGTTCATAGACAACACTAGCCCCCTACTACACTCTGCATACCATTGTCTGTGTCTACAGACGTCACGTTCATAGACAACACTAGCCCCCTACTACACTCTGTATACCATTGTCTGTGTCTACAGACGTCACGCTCATAGACAACACTAGCCCCCTGCTACACTCTGTATACCATTGTCTGTGTCTACAGACGTCACATTCATAGACAACACTAGCCCCCTACTACACTCTGTATACCATTGTCTGTGTCTACAGACGTCACGTTCATAGACAACACTAGCCCCCTACTACACTCTGTATACCATTGTCTGTGTCTGTCTGTGTCTACAGACGCTACGTTCATAGACAACGCTAGCCCCCTACTACACTCTGTGTACCATTGTCTGTGTCTACAGACGTCACGTTCATAGACAACACTAGCCCCCTACTACACTCTGTATACCATTGTCTGTGTCTGTCTGTGTCTACAGACGCCACGTTCATAGACAACACTAGCCCCCTACTACACTCTGCATACCATTGTCTGTGTCTACAGACGTCACGTTCATAGACAACACTAGCCCCCTACTACACTCTGTATACCATTGTCTGTGTCTACAGACGTCACGCTCATAGACAACACTAGCCCCCTGCTACACTGTATACCATTGTCTGTGTCTACAGACGTCACATTCATAGACAACACTAGCCCCCTACTACACTCTGTATACCATTGTCTGTGTCTACAGACGTCACGTTCATAGACAACACTAGCCCCCTACTACACTCTGTATACCATTGTCTGTGTCTACAGACGTCACGTTCATAGACAACGCTAGCCCGCTACTACACTCTGTATACCATTGTCTGTGTCTGCCTGTGTCTACAGACCCCACGTTCATAGACAGCGCTAGCCCCTACTACACTCTGTATACCATTGTCTGTGTCTGCCTGTGTCTACAGACCCCACGTTCATAGACAGCCTGACCGCGGGCGACTGGAGGGAGCGGATTCTTGGACTCGACGGCGACATCGTCGGTGACGTGAAAGGTAAAGCCGCAGCCGTCCCGCTGGGTCCACAATGGCCGTGTCCCCACGCCCATTTCTGGGCAGTAGGCGGAGTAGTGGGAGGGGCTACCCGGGTAGTGGGAGGGGCTACCCGGGTAGTGGGAGGGGCTACCCGGGGTAGTGGGAGGGGCTACCCGGGGTAGTGGGAGGGGCTACCCGGGGTAGTGGGAGGGGCTACCCGGGGTTGTGGGAGGGGCTACCTGGGTTGTGGGAGGGGCTACCCAGGTTGTGGGAGGGGCTACCCCGGTAGTGGGAGGGGCTATACGGGTAGTGGGAGGGGCTACCTGGGTTGTGGGAGGGGCTACCCGGGTAGTGTGAGGGGCTACCCGGGTTGTGGGAGGGGCTACCCGGGTTGTGGGAGGGGCTACCCCGGTAGTGGGAGGGGCTACCCAGGTTGCGGGAGGGGCTACCCGGGTTGCGGGAGGGGCTACCTGGGGGTACGGGAGGGGCTACCCGGGTAGTGGGAGGGGCCAACTGGACAGTGGGAGGGGCTACGTGGGCAGTGGGAGGGGCTACCGGGGTGTTAGGAGGGGCTACCGGGGTGTTAGGAGGGGCTACCTGGACAGTGGGAGGGGCCACCTTGACAGTGGGAGGGATCACCTTGACAGTGGGAGGGGGTCACCTTGACAGTGGGAGGGGTCACCTTGACAGTGGGAGGGATCACCTTGACAGTGGGAGCGGTCACCTTGACAGTGGGAGGGGGTCACCTTGACAGTGGGAGGGGTCACCTTGACAGTGGGAGGGATCACCTTGACAGTGGGAGGGGTCACCTGGACAGTGGGACTGGCTACCTGGGCAGTGGGAGGGGCTATGTGGGCAGTGGGAGGGGCTACCTGCTTGCTCCTGAAACTCCTCCTCTTTGGTTCTTTAGGTAAAGTCATCAGGTAGTAGGTATACAAAATAAAATGAATCACCTGATGACGGGCGCTTGTGCTGTGCCAGAAACGTCGTGATTCATTTTATTTTGTATACCTACTACGTGATGACTTTACCTACAGAACCAAAGAGTGTGGATTCCTGCAGTCACGAAAACTTCAAATCAAGTTTACTCCTCCTGCTGCTACACTACCGCTCCCCAGACACACACTCACACTCACACACTCATACATACTCACACACACTCACACATACTCACACACACTCACACATACTCACACACACTCACACACAAAACAAACAAAGATCCCCCATATAGCCTTAACAGACTGTAGGGGCAAGTGCTGTTAGCGAGCACCTATGAAGGCCGGAACGGTACACGAGGGGGTGGGTGGCCAGCACCACGCCCCGACCGCCTTTGTCTCCCTAGTGGCAATGTTTACACACCGCACCAGGTACTCATTTGAGGCTGAGTCGACCTAGGGGAGGCCCGGGATCGGTCTCAGATAATCGTCACTGGTGTTGGCCGTGAGCGGGAATCGAACCCGGGTCGCCAGGTTTATAGCGCAGCGCGCTAACCGCTACACTACCGCTCCCCACACACACACTCACACACTCACACACACTCACACACTCACACACACTCATACACACTCACACACACTTACACACACTCACACACACTCACACACTCATACACACTCACACACCGATTGGGAGTTGTGGGGGTGGAGTGTTTGATGGTACAAAATACCCTGGCAGGTGCTTAGTTTTGGTGGGGCTGATGGTAAGGCCCCACCTCTTAGTGGCACGCTCCAGTCTCAGCAGCAGCGTCTCCAACTCCTCACACACACACAGACACAACAACAACCGCCATTCGCCACTAAGTGGCGGTGACGTCACCACGACGCTTGTGCCAGGCTATGTGCACCCTGAGGCCACGTGAAGTGTCGAACGCCCGCTGGCAGGAGGTCACGGGGCAGACCCAGGTTCCACGGGTCGACTGACTGAGATGACTGGCTGGTGCACCACCTGTGCCCCCTACTGTGCAAACCTGCTGTGCTTTAGCCACCCGGCGCTCCGCTCGTTGTTGTGAGCGTCGCTCCTCCGCCCTCCGTTGTTGTTGGAGGGCGACTACCTCCAACTGCCCAGTAGCATCCTTCACGAGCCTCCTCCACAGAGGCCGATCTTGACACCGCTGGTACCAGTCATCGGCAAGTCCACTCAGCTCCACGTCCTCCTGTACCACATCACTCCATCTCTTCTCTAGCCCGTGCCGCGCCCGCTTTGCCCCCTCAATCCGGCTGAACAAAAGCTGTTTCGGCATGCGGTGGCTGGGCATGCGGGCTACATGACCCAGCCATCGCAGCCTTGCCCGCCGGAGGAGCTCACCGATGGGACCTTGCCCAGATCTTTCAAGGATTTGTGAGCTCCTCACACAATCCAGTCTGGTTAAACCCAGGATGGATCGTAGGCAGGCCAGCCTAAATGTTTCTAACCGGCGAAGATGTTCCATTAGGGGGGTCCACGTTTCGCAAGCGTAGAGAAGGGAGGGAATGACCGTGGCCGAGAAGACCTGAAGCTTAGTGCAGAGCGACAGACCAGGTAGCTTCCACACAGCGTTACGCAACCGATGAAAAGATATTGCCGCTCGACTGATTCGGAGTGAGACCTCTGCTGTTAAACTGGAGCCAGTCATAAGCACACTGCCCAGGTATGGGAAACTCTCCACTCTCTCCACAACTGCCCCATCACCGATCGACACACAGACACAGACACACACATACACACACACACGCAGACACACACACAGACACACACGCAGACACACACAGACACACACAGACACAGACACACAGACACACACACACAGACACACAGACACACACACACAGTGTGTGTGTGTGGGGATCTTTGTTAGCGGTTAGCGCTACGCTGCTCCACGAACCCGGCGACCCGAGTTCGATTCCCGCTCACGGCCTACGCCGGTGATCGTGATTATCTAAACCGCTCCTGGGCCTCCCCTAGGTCGACTCGGCCTCCAATGAGCACCCGGTGCAGTGAACATCGCTAGCACTGGGGAGACAAAGGCGGCCGGGCGGGCGTGGTGCTGATCCACCCAACCCCTGTAGCCTTCATAGGCTCTGCTGCTGCTGCTGCTGCTACTCGCTACTAACAGCACTTGCCCCGACAGTCTGCTAATAGAATTTTTTAAAAAATCGCAAACCCACACAAAAGCTTGTGTGTGGGTATTTTTTTTGCTTTTTATTTGTGACTTTAATTTTTTGTTATTTTTATTTTCTATCTACGTGGTGGTGACTTTACCGAAAGAACCAAGAATATGAATTCCTGCAGTCACGGAAGTTTTAAGTCAAAATTTGTGCGGCGGCGGCGGCGGTGGCGGCGAAGGTGGCGAAGGTGGTGGCGGTGGTGGCGATGGTGGCGGTCTTGGTGGTGGTGGCGGTCTTGGTGGTGGTGGTGGTGGTGGCGGTCTTGGTGGTGGTGGCGGTCTTGGTGATGGTGGCGGTGTTGGTGGTGGTGTTGGTGGTGGCGATGGTGGCGGTGTTGGCGGTCTTGGTGGTGGTGGCGGCGGCGGTGGCGGTGGTGGCGATGGTGGTGGCGGTGGCGACGGTGGTGGCGGTGTTGGTGGTGTTGGCGGTGTTGGTGGCGGTGTTGGCGGTGGTGGCGTTGGTGTTGGCGGTGGTGTTGGTGTTGGTGGTGGTGTTGGCGGTGGTGGTGTTGGTGGCGGCGGTGTTGGCGGTCTTGGTGGTGGTGGCGGTGTTGGTGGCGGTGGTGGCGATGGCGGTGGCGGTGGCGATGGCGGTGGTGGTGTTGGCGGCGTTGGCGGTGTTCACCGTGGACTTTGGTGCGTGTCCAGGCACCCCTGAGGCGCTGCTGCAGAAGGAGCGCCGCCTGCTGGCGATGATCGCCCAGCTGACGAGCCTGCGTGAGCAGCTGCTGTCGGCGCACGACGAGCAGAAGAAGCTCGCCGCCTCGCAGATGGAGAAGCAGCGGCAGCAGATGGAGCTCGCACGTCAGCAGCAGGAGCAGGTGGGGGGGGTGGAGCGGAGTGGTGGGGGGGTGGAGCGGGGTGGTGGGGGGGGTGGAGCAGAGTAGTGGAGGGGTGGAGCGGAGTGGTGGGTGGGGGGTGTGGAGCGGAGTGGTGGGGGGGGGGGTGGAGCGGAGTGGTGGGTGGGGGGTGTGGAGCGGAGTGGTGGGGGGGGGGGGAGCAGAGTGGTGGGGGGGGGGGTGGAGCAGAGTGGTGGAGGGGGGGGTGGAGCGGAGTGGTGGGGGGGGGGTGGAGCGGAGTGGTGGGGGGGGGTGGAGCGGAGTGGTGGGGGGGGGTGGAGCGGAGTGGTGGGGGGGGGTGGAGCGGAGTGGTGGGGGGGGGGGGTGGAGTGGTGGGGGGGGGGTGGAGCGGAGTGGTGGTGGGGGGGAGTGGAGCAGAGTGGTGGTGGGGGGGGGTGGAGCAGAGTGGTGGTGGGGGGGGGTGGAGCAGAGTGGTGGGGGGGTGGAGCGGAGTTGTGGGGGGGGGGAGCAGAGTGGTGGGGGGGGTGGAGCAGAGTGGTGGAGGGGGGGGTGGAGCGGAGTGGTGGTGGGGGGGAGTGGAGCAGAGTGGTGGTGGGGGGGGTGGAGCAGAGTGGTGGTGGGGGGGGGTGGAGCAGAGTGGTGGGGGGGTGGAGCGGAGTTGTGGGGGGGGGGAGCAGAGTGGTGGGGGGGTGGAGCAGAGTGGTGGAGGGGGGGGTGGAGCGGAGTGGTGGGGGGGGGGGGTGGAGCGGAGTGGTGGGGGGGGGTGGAGCGGAGTGGTGGGGGGGGGTGGAGCGGAGTGGTGGGGGGGGGTGGAGCGGAGTGGTGGGGGGGGGTGGAGCGGAGTGGTGGGGGGGGGTGGAGCAGAGTGGTGGTGGGGGGGGTGGAGCAGAGTGGTGGTGGGGGGGGGGGTGGAGCAGAGTGGTGGGGGGGGTGGAGCAGAGTGGTGGGGGGGGTGAGTGAAGGAGCGAGAGTTGGGAGAGAGAGGACACCACGTTCCCATGGTAACGCCTGAGTCGTGTCTCGGTAACCATGGTAACTTGGTGGTAATCCGTTGGCTACCATGGCAACGTGATTGTGACGTGTTGGGAGCCATGTGGAAGTGTAGGTAGCCGTGGTAGTGTGATGGAAATGTATTCGTAACCATGGTGATATCATGTGATGCATGTCTTGCCATGGTAACACGGTGGTAACCATGGTAACTGATGGTTGCCGTGGTAATGTGCCCCAGATCGCCAAGCAGCAGCAACAGCTGCTGCAGCAGCAGCACAAGATCAATATCCTGCAGCAGCAGATACAGGTACAGTACCATCAGCAGCACCGTCATCATCATCAGCACCATCATCATCAGCAGCACCATCAGCAGCACCATCAGCATCATCATCAGCACCATCGTCATCATCAGCACCATCATCAGCAACATCATCGTCATCATCAGCAACATCATCGTCATCATCAGCAACATCATCATTCGCCAATATCATTAGCAACAACATCATCATCAGCCTACATCACGTGTGTGTATGTGTGTGGCTGGGCCATGTAGCCCGCATGCCCAAACACCGCATGCCTAAACAGCTTTTGTTTGGCCGGATCAAGGGGGCTAGACGGGTGCGGCACGGGCTAGAGAAGAGATAGAGTGACGTGGTACAGGAGAATGTGGAGCTGGGTGGACTTGCCGATGACCGGTACCAGCGGTGTCAAGATCGGCCTCTGTGGAGGAGGCTCGTGAAGGACGCTACTTGGCAGTTGGAGGCAGTCGCCCTCCAACAACAACGGAGGGCGGAGGAGCGACGCTCACAACAACGAGCGGAGCGCCGGGTGGCTAAAGCACAGCGAGATTGGCACAGTAGGGGGCACAGGTGGTGCATCAGCCAGTCATCTCAGTCAGTCGACCCTTGGCACCTGGGTCTGCCCCGTGACCTCCTGCCAGCGGGCGTTTGACACTCCACGTGGCCTCAATGTGCACATGGCCTGGCACAAGCGTCGTGGTGATGTCACCGCCACTTAGTGGCGAATGGCGGTTGTTGTTGTTGGTGTGTGTCTGTGTGTGTGTGTCTGTGTGTGTGTGTGTCTGTATGTGTGTGTCTTAATAACAATGGTAGGAGGCTGCTAGATTTTTGTGCAGCCCATGGGCTTGTAATTACCAACACGCTGTTCCGGCATCGGCGCATCCACACAACATCATGGATGCATGCCGGGTCCAAGCAAGAACATCTGCTGGACTACATAGTGACGGACCAGCGGATGCGAGCCCATATCCTTGACACCAGGACCTACCGTGGAGCTGATCTGCCCTCTGACCATCGACTAGTCATCTGTAAGATGCGCCTGCCATTCTTCCACTCCGGTGGTGGGTGTACACCCAGGAACCCATTCCAACCTAAAGTGGCCTGGTCTCAGTTATCTGATGAAAGTTGCAAGCGAGAATTTCATCATCGCTTGCGGCTGGGATTGGCATCGTCCCCGACTCCTCCTGATGTCGAGGGTAAATGGGCGAGGTTTAGGACTGTGACTCATGCAGCTGCAATGGCTGCTTTGGGTACGCGGTCCAGACCTCCCCAGAGACCCTGGCTGACAGAGGAGGTGTTCAGGATGGTTGAGAAAAAGCGACAGGCCCACTGTCATCGGCTACAGAATCCCACGTCAGAGAATGAGGAGGCTTACCGCAGCCTTCGCTCGGAGGTTCGGAGAGCCGTGAGGCGCTGCAAGGATGGGTGGTGGTCGCGGGTTGCTGAGGAGATGGAGTCTGCCTCAGTGGCCCGTGATCACAAATCTCTATTTAACTCCATCAAAAAAGTAACCTGCAGCACCACACCTATTACCATCATTAGGGGAAAAAACGGTGATCCAATCTCCGACCCCCAGGAACAGGTTTGCAGATTTGCTGAGCATTTCTGTGAGGTCCTGGGGGAGGGAAAATCCCTCAGCCAGGAAAACATCATGGCACAAAGTGAGGATGACCCTGCTGAGGCTGCGGTGCCTCAAATATTGGAAGAAGTCACCCCCTGTGAGTGGCTGGCTGAGGTGCCATCTGTTGAGGAAGTACAGAAGGCGATCCTGAGCCTGAGACCAGGAAAGGCAGCGGGCAGAGATGATCTCCCAAGCGAAATGCTGAGGGAGGGTGGCATTTGTGCACAGACTGCCCTATATGACATCATAACAACAGTCTGGACCACTGGACGGGTTCCGCAGGATTGGAAGGATGCCCTGGTGGTCCCCCTTTTTAAGAAGGGGGACCGCACAGACTGTAACAACTACAGGGGCATCTCACTCCTCAGTGTGCCGGGAAAGGTCCTGGCAAGGATTATTCAACATCGCCTTGCCAGGCACGCTGAGGAGAGGCTTGCGGAGCCCCAATGTGGTTTCAGGAAAGGGCGGTCCTGCACAGATGCCATATTTTCTGTCCGTCTGCTACAGCAGAGGTGTAGGGAATTCCAACAAGACCTACATCTCTGCTTTATTGACCTGGTCAAGGTCTATGATACCATCAGTAGGCCTGGGCTCTGGGTTGTTCTTCGTGCTTTTGGAGTAACTGACCCTCTGCTCACGATCATTAAGGACCTTCATGATGGTGAGCGGGCCCGGGTAAAACTACGTGGCCGGGAGTCAGAGCCATTCCCTGTACACCTTGGGGTGCGACAGGGATGTCCTCTGGTTCCCACATTATTTAACATCTATTTTGACCACGTAGTTCGTGAAGCCTTCAATAGCTGTACCGGGGGAATCTCTATATGGTACAGATATAATGGGAGGCTGATCGATGCCCGGGTGCTGTCAAGGGATGGCTCCCTACTGCTCAACCACGTTATATGCTGATGATTTGGTAATAGCTGCTCATTCAGAGGAGGAGTTGGAGGTGCTGCTGCTGAACTTGGAGCTTGCCACTAAGAGGTGGGGCCTTACCATCAGCCCCACCAAATCTAAGCACCTGCCTGGATATTTTGTACCATCGGACAAGAGAGTTTCCCATACCTGGGCAGTGTGCTTATGACCGGCTCCAGTTTAACAGCGAGGTCTCACTCCGAATCAGTCGAGCGGCAATATCTTTTCATCGGTTGCGTAACGCTGTGTGGAAGCTACCTGGTCTGTCGCTCCGCACTAAGCTTCAGGTCTTCTCGGCCACGGTCATTCCCTCCCTTCTCTAATGGAACATCTTCGCCGGTTAGAAACATTTAGGTTGGCCTGCCTACGATCCATCCTGGGTTTAACCAGACTGGATTGTGTGAGGAGCTCACAAATCCTTGAAAGATCTGGGCAAGGTCCCATCGGTGAGCTCCTCTGGCGGGGAAGGCTGCGATGGCTGGGTCATGTAGCCCGCATGCCCAGCCACCGCATGCCGAAACAGCTTTTGTTCGGCCGGATTGAGGGGGCTAAGCGGCCGCGGCACGGGCTAGAGAAGAGATGGAGTGATGTGGTACAGGAGGACGTGGAGCTGAGTGGACTTGCCGATGACTGGTACCAGCGGTGTCAAGATCGGCCTCTGTGGAGGAGGCTCGTGAAGGACGCTACTGGGCAGTTGGAGGTAGTCGCCCTCCAACAACAACGGAGGGCGGAGGAGCGACGCTCAGAACAACGAGCGGAGCGCCGGGTGGCTAAAGCACAGCAGGTTGGCACAGTAGGGGGCACAGGTGGTGCATCAGCCAGTCATCTCAGTCAGTCGACCCGTGGCACCTGGGTCTGCCCCGTGACCTCCTGCCAGCGGGCGTTCGACACTTCACGTGGCCTCAGGGTGCACATAGCCTGGCACAAGCGTCGTGGTGACGTCACCGCCACTTAGTGGCGAATGGCGGTTGTTGTTGTTGTGTCTCTGTGCGCTATGAACCTGGCGATCCGGGTTCGATTCCCGCTCACGGCCAACACCAGTGACGATTATCTGAACCGGTCCCGGGCCTCCCCTAGGTAGACTCAGCCTCAAATGATTACCTGGTGCGGTGTGTAAACATTGCCACTAGAGAGACAAACGCGGTCGGGCGTGGTGCTGGCCATCCACCCCCTCGTGTACTGTTCCGGCCTTCATAGGTGCTCGCTAACAGCACTTGCCCCTACAGCCTGTTAAGGTTATGTGGGGGATCTTTATCTTTGTCTCTGTGTGTGTGTCTGTATGTGTGTGCGTGTCTGTGTGTGCCTATGTGTGTCTATGTATGTCTGTGTGTGTGTCTGTGTGTGTCTGTATGTGTGTATCTGTGTGTGTGTCTATGTGTGTGTCTGTGTGTGTGTCTTGTGTGTGCGTGTGTGTGCGTGTGTCTGTGTGTGTGTCTGTGTGTGTGTCTCTGTGTGTGTGTCTCTGTGTGTGTCTGTGTGTCTGTATGTATGTGTTTGTGTCTGTGTGTGTCTGTATGTATGTGTGTCTGTGTGTGTCTGTGTGTGTGTGCGTGTGAGCTGTCGTGCGTGCAGCCTGTAACCTGATAAGGCTTCTTTTGTGCCCAGCGGACAATAGCGGCTCTTGTGTTTCTCTCTCTCCCTTTCTCTCACTCAGCCATGTCTCACCCCACCCACCCACCTACTACTCATCTCTCCCCCCCTTCACTCACCCGCCCACTCACCCCTTCATTCGCTTACTCACCAAACCACTCACGCACACAGCCACCTACTCACTTGCTCGCTCATTCACCCACCCGCTCACCCACCCACTCACTCACCCACTCACCCACTCACTCACCCCTTCAATCGCTTACTCGCTCACCCACTCGACCACTCGCACACACACCCACTCACTCACTCCTTCATTTGCTTACTCGCCCAACCACTCATACCTTCAGCCACCCACCCGCTCGCTCACTCACTCACCCACCCGCTCACCCACCCGCTCACCCACCCACCCCTTCATTTGCTTGCTCTCTCACCCACTCGACCACTCGCACACTCACCCACCCACTCACCCACCCACCCGCTCACTCACCCACCCACTTTACCCACTCACTCACCCACTCACTCACTCACCCACTCACTCACCTCTTCATTCGCTTACTCACTCACCCACTCGACCACTCGCACACACACCCATTCACTCGCCCAACCACTCGCACACACAGCCACCCACTCGCTCGCTCACTCGCTCACCCACCCACCCACTCACCCATCCGCTCACCCACCGACCCGCTCACCAACCCACTCACTCACCCCTTCATTCGCTTACTCACTCAACCACTCGCACACAGCCAGCCACCCACCCGCTCGCTCACTCACCTACCCACCCACTCACCCACCCACTCGCTCGCTCGCTCACCCACTCACCCAACTCCTCGCTCACCCATCTACCCACTCAACCACTCACACACCCACACACCCAAACGCTCA